TGATAGTGTCATCATCACATTGGATGATTTAAATCTAAGAATGATGAAAATAAATAATTTGGAAATCACCAGGCATTGACATTATATATTTGTATTATTAGAAGAGAATGTAATCATCAAGAGATTCCATTCTTAATATCTTCAATGATTGGTTAAACTTCAATGAAAACATCACTCTATATATGGTAAGTGGAAGAACTATACTAATCCACAAATGAGGTGATATGAACGATGTCACTAATTATCGTCATATCAGTTGTACAAATGTAATAATGAAAGTATTTACCTCAATATTGAAAGAGAAGATTCATAATAGAATTAACATGAATAATGAATCATTAAAAATTAATAAAAATCAGTTATGATGTAAACTGCAATCTCTTGATAATAAAGAAGGATTAATTAATAGTTATATGTTAAATCAGCAAAAAGAAGATAAATACCCAAAATATGTAGAGTCATATTATGATATTAAGAAAACATATGAAACAGTAAATCATGAATGGGTAATAGAATCACTAAAATATTTTAATGTAGAGGGTGTCATCATAGATATTGTAGAAAGTATGATGAACAGATTGAAGATATTCATAGGATATAAATATAACGAATATCTAGGATGTATTAAATTGATGAATTTTACAATGTGATTCATTATCATTTCTACTCTTCGTCATCAAAATGAATATAATTTCTCAAATCATAGAAGAGAAGTTCCTAAAATCAAACCATACATTATATATAGATGAATTGAGAATAATGACACTAAGTAATGAATAAATGGGAACAATCCATAATGAAATTAAACAAATAATAAGTGGAATAATGATAGAAATGAAAAGAAATCATGAATAATATTAAAGAACATTAATAAAATACCAGATGGAATGCAAAACATCACATTAATTGAAGGAGAGGAATTGTATAAATATTTATGAGTATGGTAGTCAGATGAAATTAATGATACATTCAATTGTAAAATCATCAAATAAAAGATGATGAAGAAATTGATGAAATAAATACTGATGAAAGTAGTAATAGAAGTTATATTACAAGAATTAATACTGAAGTAATACCCATCTTCATATATTCAATATCACTAGTAAATTGGAATGTAATATAGATAGAATGGATTTGGAGATAAGAAAATATTTAAGAAAGGCAAAATACATTGTTGTAACTCCAAAGACCGTCTATATGTCCCTATAAATGAAATGGGTGAAGGATTAATAAGCCTAATTGACGAATATGTTAATGAAATAATCAGAACAGTAATGTACTATTGTACAAGAGTGAAATAAGAAATAACATAATAGATAGATGGTATTCCAAGAAATGAATATTGAATAGAATTAAAAAAGCACTAAGTCATAAAATCCCAGAGACTCAAATAGAAGAAATAATAAATGAAGTGAAAATAAAAAAGAAAAAGAAGTAGTATTAAAAATAAAGAAATTAATGACCAACAAATACATCAAAAAATGGAAGTCCCATCAAACAAGTGGACATTTTAGAAGATGGTTCGAGTCAAAAGGGGTAGATAAAACTACTACAATAAATGCATGGAAGTCCATCAATATTAAGAAAAATGCATTTCTCCAATTAACTAAAATGCAAGATGGAGCAATATTTAGTGGGTACAGGAAAGCAAAAATAATAAAAAATGAAAGATTGAAGTACTGCCCACTTTGTAAATACAAGATAGCCACAGTAGAACACATTCTACTATCTTGCATTGGTCATAAAAAATCACAGATGGAGAAACATGACCATATTGGCATCATCATATGGGAGGGGTTAATAAGAAAATACACAGGAAATAAACAATACAAGAAAACCCCATATGAAACAGTGTTCCAATACAATGACATCACTATGATATGGAACAAACAAATAATGCCAAAAAGTGATGGACTATATCATAAAAGACCAGTATATATGTACTAGATAAAAAGAATAAAACTGGTCTAATATTTGATATGACTATTGTGGCAGATCATAATATTAATGGAGCCTATTGGAAGAAAAGAAATATGTATAAGGAATTGAAAAATAGGCTAATGAAAATAGAGAAATTAAAAGATGTCAAAATAATTCCAGTAGTAAATTCGATTAATGGGCTAATAAATGCCGAAAGTATTAAATTAATCAAACAATTAAAAATCGAAATTGACATCACTAAAGAAATTAAAAACCTTGTAATTAAAAACATGATGGACGTCATGGAGCACTGTGGAGATCACAACCAAACATATGTAGTTGAACTACAAGACGAAGACGAAGGGACGGGATTAGTCTCCGCTGAGGCAGGAACAATACACACAAGTTCTATTAATACTTAATTAACTTCTTTATATTTATTCATTTTCTCTTTTGATTTATTCTATTTACACCTTCTTATATTTAATTTCATTAATTAACGTTTCAAATTAATTTAATTTTAAATTAAATAATAAAATAGAAATAGAAATGAAAGAATTAAAGTATAAATGAAATATTCATTTATATTACCTATTATTAATAAAAGATAATATAAAAATAATTATATAATTGTAATAATGACTATATTTTTCTTGTAAAATATATTTTGATGTTTGTAATTGGAAAATTAAACAAATTAATGATAAACAAATACATTATAAATTGAAATCAAACAAGTAGACATTTTAGAAGATTGTTTGATTCAAAATTTGTAGATAAAATTACTACAATAAATGTATGGAAGTCAATCAATATAAAGAAAAATGTATTTCTTTAATTAACTAAAATATAAGATGGAGTAATATTCAGTGTGTATAGGAAAGATAATATATTAAAAAATGAAAGATTAAAATACTGCAAACTTTGTAAATACAAGATAGTAACAGTAGAACACATTCTACTATCTTGTATTTGTCATAAAAAATCACAAATTGAAAAATATGATAATATTGGAATTATCATATTAAATAATAATAAAATATATATGAAATAATCATTATATGAAATTAATATATGAAAAAATGTTCAAATACAATGATATTATTATGATATTGAATAAATAATATTAAAAAGTGAATGATAAATCATAAAATATCATATATATGTAATAAATAAAAAGAATAAAAATAATCGATTATTTGATATGAATATTATTATATATCACAATATTAATAGAATATAATTGAATAAAAGAAATAAATATAAAGAAACGAATAATATGATGATTAAAATAAATAAAATAAAATATATCAAAATAAATACATATTAATTTCAATCAATTAATTAATAAAATTTGAAAATATTAAATTAATTAAATAATTAAAAATCGAAATTAACATCATAAAGAAATTAAAAACCATGAGTGATGATGTTATTGAATAATACTTCAATCATAATAGAATACATATACTCAAATTAACTAATAACAAAGATAGAATTAATCCGCAATGAACATTGAACATTATAAGATAATTCTATCATCACTTAATTATTTATTTTATTCTTTTAATGAGAATATTTTCTTTATCTCTTGAACCCATATTGTAAAGTACTTGGTGATAATCTCC